GGCAACCGGTTTTTGTAGATTGATTGTATAACCTGCCACATTACTGAAATTGTTGATCAGTTCTAGGAATTTTCTGGTGGAATTATTTGGATCTCTTAGGTATAGTCTGATCATGAAATCTTTTTAATGTGTTGTTGGATTTGGAGTTAAGTATGAAGCACTCTTTATTCAGGATTTTTATATCTGGGTTCATTAGTGATATCAGCTTACAGTATGGTTTATGTCTTTATCTAGTTGTGTGTGTGTGTGTGTGTGTGTGTGTGTGTGTGTGTTTGCCCATAAAAACAGGACACACTGCATGTGTGGGGATCAGAAGACACCTTGTGGGAGTCAGTTCTCTTCCTCCACAATGTGGGTTCTGGAGATCAAATTCAGGTTGTCAGGTCTGGTGGCAGGCACCTTTGCCCACTGAAGCACCTTGATGGCTCTATTTGGTTTTGGACCAGAGCATTATTGACTCTGTAGAATGTGTTTAAAAGTGATCCTTCTCTCCTATTTTGTGGAGTAGTTGGAAGAACATTGTTAATTCTTCTTTGAGGATCTGAGAGAGTCCATTTATATGTATGTCTTGTCATAAGCTTTTCTTTGTTGGAAATTTTTATATTGACATTTCAATCAGATTGTTATTGATCTATTGAGATATTTGAGATATCTTATGCATTGTTTGCTCAATTTTGATAGGTCATATGTGTTGAGGAATTGGTCTATGTCTTCCATTCTCCAATTTGAGTTTAGGTTTTCAAAATACTTCCCAATGATTCTCTGGAGTTAATCTCATCGGCTGCCATATCACCTCTTGTCTCCAATTTTATTTTAATTTTTAAATTTAAAAAGAATTATGTGTTTGAGTGTTTTGCCTGCATGTATATAAATGCCTCATGTGTGTACAATGCCCACAGAAGAGGGCATCAGATGCCCAGGAGCTGGAGTTATGAATGGCTATAAGCTGGCGTGTGGGTGCTTGGAACCGAACCTGGGTCCTCTGCCAGAGCAGCCAGTACTCTGAAACATCTCTCTAACTCCTCGCTAATATTTGTTAATTTGGGCCTTTTTTTATTTGCTTGGATTGAGCAAGGTTTTGTCACTTTTGCTCATCCTTTCCAATAACCAAGGGTTTTGTTTCCTTGATCCTTTCTATTGTTTTTTTTATTTGTTTTTCATTACATTCAACTCTCATTTTTATTGTTTTACCATCTACTGCTTTGGAGTTTAGTTTATGCTTGTTCTTTATGACCTTGCTCAACAACATGAAGGTGTTTTCTTAACTGACATATCTTTGGTTTTTTTGATATAGGAATTTTGGTTCTAGGCTCTCCTCCTAGACCTGCTTTTAATTTTTAAGATCTAGGTTTGTGAGTTTGTGTTATGACACAAATTCTCAAGCAAGCCACAAGCAGAAGTGAGGGGGCAACAATGGAGCCAAACCTGAAGACCAGCTCCTCTGAAGAGGAGATCCTCATGGATCATTATGTGATCCTCAAGACCCTCGGCTAAGGCAACTTTGCTGAGGTCAAACTGGCCCTCCACAGCCACACAGGGGTGCAAGTTGCTGTCAAGATCCTGGAAAAGGATGAGAACAATGTCTTCCGGGTCATGCCTGAAGTAGATATTGCTAAGGCATTGGATCACCCAAACATTATCAAAACATTATCAAACTCTTCCACATCATCAAAACCAGAGAGCACACCTATATGGTGGTGGAATATGCTGCTGAGGGAGATCTGGTGGAGTATCTTGAAAAGGTGGGCTGTCTACAAGAGGAAGAAGCCCTCTCCATCTTCACACTGACAGCATGTGCGGTTAACTACTGCCATGAGAACAGCATTGCACACAGGGATATTAAATTAGAAAACATACTGTTGGATGACAAAGGACACATCAAACTATGTGACTTAGGCCTGGCTGTAAAAGTCATCTCTGGCCAGAAGTTTAAGGGCATGTGTGGCATCCTTTGGTATTGTGCTCCAGAGCTTTTCTTGGACCAAGAATATGATGTACTTGCAAATGACATTTGGAGCATGGGAGTGGTTTTGTATGCATTGTTAACATGCTACTTCCCATTCAGCGCAGAAAACTATTCAGAGATGAAGGAGATCATGCTGAATCCAAAGATCTTCATTCCATGCAAGCTTTCCCTGCACATTAAAAACCTCATCAAGCAACTGTTCACTGTTGACTCTAGGTAGAGGCCCACAATACATGACATCATGGGACACCAGTGGCTCAAGGACAGTGAAAAACTTTCAAAATTAGCATCTTCTTTGGAGATGTCACCCAGCATCCCAAATCCCAGCATTGTGTTGACTATGTGGGACATAGGCTACAACCCTAAGGACATTAGAGACTCTTTACATGAAAAATAATTTAATAATATCATGACCACTTACCTAATTTTAAAACATAGGTCACCTCAGGGCTACAACACTAACCATCAAATTAAGCCCATGCAGCCTGGTGCTGCCATGATCCCTGCAGGTCCTGTCACCTTCACTCTCCATAAGAGAATGAGAGAGTCCTCCCTTCCCACCCTCACCTTACTAGCTAAACATCAGCTGCATGATGACAGGGAGGGTTCAAGGAAGAGAAGCAGAAGCCACAGCATGCCTGCCACCCTGTGCTGCCAGCAGAAGGGCATGGACCCTCCCAACCCAGGACCTCAGTGTGGTGCTGTGGCTGCTCAGCTCATAGAGAACAGTTCAGAAGGAAGTGCCATGACCTCCAAAGGTGTGCCTTCAGTCAGGGGCTCCTCAAAGGGTATTTCTGGAAAGCATCAGTCCTGGAAGGTGCCAAGGATATAATCACCATCAAGAACAGCTCGTGCATCCAGAATACACCTTCTGAAGAGGCCTCTAGAGAAGCATCTCAGGGTGTGACTACCATAGGCACAAATAGAAAGGACAGGAGCTTATCCCTCCGGGAAAAATCCTAAGAAAGGCTCACCAGTGCTCAGCCACAGGACATGAGCACAGTCTCTCCCCGCTGGAAAAGGGTGAAGAGGAGAGTGGTGAGCTGTGTGCAAAGCCTATGCTGCTGCCTGTGGGTCCCACAGGAAAGCCACATTTCCCAGAAGAAAATGGAGCCAGTGGAAGAAGGGGAGGGCAGAGCAGTCACACAAAACTAGGTAAGTGGGACAGCCAAGATGCACCTCTGCATTTCTGTAATCTATGCATTTTCTATTTATTTATTTTTTTTGCAATTGATACATGGCAGTTTTACTCACTTAACACATGAGTTCAGAAGGAACTCCAAACCATCCCCCTTCTTTATAACCTGAACATGTTTAGCTAGATAGAGACAGCAGAGTTTGGGGGCCAGAGTATAAGGAGGCAGCAAGGAGGAGTTGGCTGAAGAGAGCAAAGGTTCAGAGGGAAGAGTCACATGGGAAGCTAAGGCACAGAAAGGCCCCACAGTAAAGGCTAAGTCCTGTGTATTTCAACGTCACTAAGAGGGTCCCTATCTCGTGTCTTTCTGCTTTTAAGGGAGGAGCCTCTGTGGACACTGAGGCACAAGGTGGGGATCAACTAGATGTAGACCGTGACAGCTGAAGCAGGAGACAGGCAAGAATTCCAGTTGGCAGGGTGCTACATACCCAGCACAGAGGCCTCTATCCAGCACAGGAGGTAAGCAAACTGCCACAGGCTTCTCCACAGGAAATCTGTGGCACAAGAGGGCTTGACTTTCACAGCATCCTGCTCAGAGTGGTGGCTTGAGCCAAAAGAATACCTGAAGTTGTCTGTGGGCTACAAATCCATGTGCCCCCATCTTGGGGGAAACCTCTTTCTGCTCTGCTCATCTGTCTATCTCTTTAGGTCTGGGCAAGAGGAGATGGCTTCTCACCCCAGGGGGAGAGTACTCTTGCCAGAGAGACTATTACTAGTAGAACCTGAGGTACCAGGGTGAGCAAGTTGGTGGATGACATCAATGGAGTGAGTATGGGTTATGGCTAAGCAGCAGTGGGATTCCTGTTTTGGGCAGCCTCCTGACATCCTTTTCAGGCTGGATCCAAACTGGGGCCCAATGCAGAGTAAAGCTTGGGAAAATGGCAGCTGGGAAGTGACCCCAAGGAGAGCTGCGCCCCCTTTACTCCTCTACTTCCCATGGGTGCTGTTGGCTTTTCTGCTTCCTCCACAGCCCACCTCCCTCCCAGGCCAGGAGACCAGCATCAAGGCATAGTCGTCCAGTGAGTCAAGAGGGGAACAGACCCTTTCGTGGAGACTTTCATCTGAGCCAAGTCTGTCTTCTGCCTGACAAGACACTGCCAGCGACCTTGCGGAGAATATGCATCACTTTGGCTGGACTGCTGAAAGGGTACTGTTCCGATTTGGAAAGGTAAATGGGCCTTGCCATGCCTGAGGCCCAGCTGCTCCGAGTGGCATGGTCAATACCCATTACATTACTCTACAGAGCCCACCTCTGGCATGAAAACTAGCTGTGTATGTGGGGCAGCAACAGTACAGGCGTGTTTAGCACATACAAACTTCTAAGTATCAGCCCATGGTGGGCACCTCCATTTCACATGTACTTGAAGTACCAACCCCAGCTGGATACATTCCCCCACCCCCTTCACCACCATACATATGCTGCTACATTTCAGGCCAGGTAGAAAACCCACTGTGTACCCCATAGAAAATGCTAGATGTCACATCCTATTGGACACCCTCACCCTATACACAGTGTTAGGGATCAGGCCCTGATGGATACCAGACCAGCACCCCAAATATGCTATTCTAAACCTGACTCTGACACCTAACTACCACCAAACCTATATTCCTAGGGATCAGCAATGGGGAACACCACCCATGCATAAACAAAGCAAAATCAAGTGTCAGGTCCTACTAGATTCCCCCTGCCCCACATAAATTTTTCAGGATCAGGCCCATTGGACACACACACACACACACACTCATTACCACCCCATATTCACTACTTTTCAGGCAATGCTGGACACTTTCTTGCCACTGCCCCAAAGAAACCTCTAGGAATCAGGCCTTCTAGCCAATCTTCCAGGCTGCTGCCCCACATTTGGTAGAAATCAGACCCTACTGGATTCTCCCACCCCCACAGCCAACTTGCATGCACTGCTAGATGCCAGGCCCTGTTGCACACCCTCCTTCACTACTACATATACATTTCTAAGAATCAGGCCCACTGACACCCTGCCACCAGGCCACTGCCCCACATACATGGCTAGGCATCAGGACTTGGTAGACACCCTCTAATCCCCTTCCCACCATCGAAGCCTCATAAAAACTAATTCCTAGCCTGGTACTGGAACAGAGACAATTGATGGCATCTAGCAGGGCTTGATACTTAGCACTGTATATGGCATGGTGGCCCTGGAGATGTGTAGTGTCCAGAAGGGCCTGATACCTTGCACTCTGAGGGAGAGGGGGAAGAAGTGGTCCAGGAGGGCCTGATCTCTAGCTATGTATGTGGATACCACCACAATGTGCCATCGTGAACCCACTAGGTACTATCATGAATATACCACTAGCTGCCAGGCCATTAGACACTCTGCACAACAACCCGCTCCCCCAAAACAGCTAGGTATTAGCAGCTGCTCTATACTCCCATCAACATTCATATTCACTGCTAAATGTTAGACAGTACTGGACTGCCTCTGCCTTACCCCCTGTCCTACATACATCAGTATCAGGTCTTGCTGGACACACCACTGCTGCTGTCCCATATACTGCTATCCCTAACCTGTGTCAGGCCTACTAGAATCAAGAAAGTTCACAACCTGAGTCTGGGTGGGCCCAGGGCTGTGACTTTCCTGGTCCAGTTCCCTGGGAACCCAGTGCAAGTGCCCTCTGCCATCTCAGGCCTGGAGAGGGTGCCAGGGACATCGTGTATTTGCTGAAGATTCGGTGTGATCCACACAGCAGCCGGCTGTCTTTCTTTCTGAGCTAGAGCAGGGATACCTAAACTTTTTCCATTCACGACCCTTTTTCAACCAAGAAATTTTTACATGACCCAAGCATATCTGCATATACAAGTATATAAATAAAATATGGGTTAATTTACTTAAAAATTCTTTTGTATACATGGTTTGTTTTATGGCTGATTAAGATGAAAACAGTTTTTCATACTAATGAGATGAATACACTTATACGTTTACATGAAAAATTCAATATTGGGGTTGGGGACATGGCTCAATTGGCAAAGTGCCTGCTTCACGTGCATAGGGGCCTGACTCTGGATCCCCTGAATCCACATAAAAAAAGCCTGGCATGGAGGGCTGGAGAGATGGCTCAGCGGTTAAGAGCACTGACTGCACTTGCAGAGGACCCGGGTTCGATTCCCAGCACCCACATGGTAGCTATGAATTGTCCTTAACTCCAGTTCCAGGGGAATCTGAAGCTCTCTTTGACCTCGGTGGCATTGCAGGACACGGGTGCACTCACATACTGCAGGCAATACACTCCTACACATTTTTTTTAAAAAAAAACCTTGGCATGGTTATGTGTGCTTGTAACCCCAGCACTAGGGGTGGGAGTAGAGGCGGCAATGGAGACATCAGGCAGATCCCTGAAGCTCACTGGCTAGCCAGCCTAACTGAACTGCGGTTCAGTGAGAGACCCTGTCTCAAAAGATGAAGGTGGAAAACAAAGAAAGACACACAACGTTTATCTCTGGCCTCCACATGCAAGTGAACACACGTACATCTGTATGAAAATATGCAAACAGCGCAAGCACAAAATACGTTGCATGAAATTCTCCAAGAAATTTTACAATGATCTAAGACCTGGTCTTGGCGCCCCCTGGTGGCCGAGCTCTCTAGCCGTCATTCTCCTTGCCAGTTTTTTTCATTCTTGCAAGATGCCTCACCAGACCATCCTTTCTTGCCAGAAGGGACTATGCCTGCCCCAAGAGCTGTGTATCTGAGGGACACCTGCCATGAGTCATGGTAATGTGGGTGGGGCCTGGTCCTGACTCAAAGGAGGTGGACGCCAGGCAAAGGGTGGAAAGCAACTTCAGGACAACCTCTAAAAGTGGAGTTGGGGGAGGAAGGTGGGCACCTCAAGATTGCTATGAGGAAAGTCTTACTCAAACACTTGAGCAGCTGCAGTGAGAGAGTTCCCTATAATAACACAATGTTTGGAAAATAGAATGTGGGTGGGGCCTGGTCCTGACTCAAAGGAGGTGGACACCAGGCAAAGGGTGGAAAGCAACTTCAGGACAACCTCTAGAAGTGGAGTTGGGGGAGGAAGGTGGGCACCTCAAGATTGCTATGAGGAAAGTCTTACTCAAACACTTGAGCAGCTGCAGTGAGAGAGTTCCCTATAATAACACAATGTTTGGAAAATAAAGAGGAGCCTCTGACTTCAGCTGCTAGAATTCATGGCTGAGACAGTTTTTATTGTTTTCGTTATTATTGTTTTGTTTTGGTTTTGTGTTTCTCATTGGAGGAATAAAGTAAACACGCATGGGACTTCCCTGCTCTGGGTGGTCCTGCATGTCATGTGAGAGTTTTGTTTATCTTCTCTGGCCTAAGATGGACCCTTAACAACTGCTCAAAAATGTGAGCAGAAAGGACCTTCTACCCTAGAGAAGATAAAACCAGCCACCTCATGAAACTGACAGAAATTGATTTAGGCTTACTGTTTGATAAATTACAAGCTTAGGGGAAATCTATCAGTAGTGCAGCGTTACTAAGCCACATTACAGTTGCACCTGAATAGAGACTCAGTCTGACTCTTATTATTGGTTTTAAGAGTGGGCCCAGCCTTTCTCTGATCCTTGGTTGCGGGCTGGTTGGGGGTGGTTGCCGCCCCGCTGCACCTGCAAGTAGAGGCCCGGTGCCCGGGTCCTCGCAGCTTGGTGGCAGCATGGGCAGCGCGCGGGAGGTGGGTTGGGTGGCGGCAGGCCTGGTGCTCGACCTTTCAGCAGGACTTGCACACTGCACATGGCTGCCTGTGGCATGTGGCGCTTGGGTTCTTCTTCACTGTGGCTCAGGGCACAACTACTCTGGCCTGGCCATGGCATTGGACTGCATATAGCAGTAATCCCTGGTCCAACTGTGCTTTTTCTCTGCCTGGGATAAGCTGTTATGCTTGAACAGCTCTGTTCTGTCCTTTCGTTTTGGAAAGTTTCTTGGAATTTTGAATCTTGGCTATTTCATTCTCAGGAGAATGTGGCTTTTTCTCTTCTTTTTAGAGTTCTGTGCTTCTTGACTTGGAGCCAGTAGTCTGCATCACAGATTCGGGATTTGGAGGCAATTATTTGATGAAATATGGACACTTTCGAGCTAGACTGTGGAAGATAACAAGAATTTAATTTTTAAACTTTGCTGAGTAAATCAACCTGATACCGGATATCAACAACCCATTCATTATATTCTTGAGAGCACTGCATGCAGCTTCTTTGCCTCGTTCATTACGAATTGCTTGGTACGTATGTTCTCCACTCATTTATTCCTCTACTTTCATCTGTATCTGGGGTTGGAAAATGCATGGAATGTATTTCTTCTTTCCATGTAACTTCGAGTGTATCTGATCATATATATCTTCGATAAATAAGTCATGAATAATTGAATCAATGTCATTTTGATGCTTAATGATATCCTTCTACACACTTTAAAGTGCATTTTCCTAATCAAAGAAGTGAATGAGAACTAGGCCCACATTCCTAAGCAGATGTTTTCTTGAACAGTCACCGTAAATTTGCCTCCGAACAGTTCTTTACAACTGTCAAATTCAGAGAGTTTAAAAAATGAACAAAACAGAAATACATGCGACCTCAGATCTTGCTGAAAGGCATGCACTTCTAACAGGAAGCATCCACATGAAGCAGCCATAGTTTGAGGCAGCAGATCCTGTGCATGAAGCTTAAGGTTCATACATAGAAACCGAAAGTAATGCCATAAGAAGCTCCAGAAAGTTTAGTACAGCTACAAAGATGGAAATGTTCAAAGAGAAAATATGTGACAAGAAAATCCAGAATCAGAATTGTGAGCATTGAAAAAGCATGATTGACGGGTCATCTGGGAAGTTGAGGAAGTCTGCAGCTTCCAAAAGGTTGGTGAAGCGAGAATTAAGTTAGTTGGTTACTATAGATGGCAAGATGTGGCTCATGTGGTTTTGGGAGTACAGTCAGTGAGTAAAGGCACTTTCCACACAAAAATGAAGACCAGAGTTCAGATCTCTAGCATTCATGCAAATGCCCAGTAGGTATGGTAGTCTAACTGTAATCCCAGTCTTGGGAGGCAGAGAAAGGGGATCCCTCAATCAAGCTGGCTAGATAGACTAATCTAATCCATAAGCAATTATTGAGCTCTGCGTTCAAGAGAGAGCCCCTTCCTCAGTATGTAGAGAAAAATCCAGGAAGAAAGTCCACATCAACCTCTAGACCTCTAGCTCTAGCCCTCTCCCACCTCTCTCTTTCTCTCTCTCTC